CATAGTAAAACACTTTTGGTAGCTTTAAAGAGGTCTATGCATCGGGTCAAAAAGAGTGACGGTATTATCAAGTAAATCATTTTGTTTCAAGTCTCCCTCAACCGTTGAGGACGCCAGAAGATATATATCCATTTGAAGAATGAAAATGAAAAAATGAACTGACAAAATAACATGTTACTTCTAGGATTTACAAGATCCTAATGGCTATGGAAGGAATTGATCCTCCGGGGTTTTTGGAAAAATGGGAAAAAGAGGTTAGAACAGAATTGAGTGTACAGCAATGGAATAAAGTTTTCAAATTAACACATGAGGTGAAAAATATGAGCACAGTTGAGATGAATTATAAATGTTTAACTAGATGGTATATTACACCAAACATAGCTCACAGACAACAAGTAGATGCATCACCTTTGTGCTGGAGAGGATGTTGAGAAGGGTACAATGGCACATATATGGTGGGGTTGCCCAAAAATACAGGGTTACCGGAGAAAAAAAATAATTCAATGTATTCAGGTGATATGTGGGATAACTGTACAGAGAGATCCCTGGAGGTATTTATTCTATAACTTTGAGCCCTCAGCGAAACTATATAAAAACAGGGTACTTTATCATCTAATTAGTGTGGCTAAGGGTCTGATTCCCAAGTTCAAAATGTGGTGTAGTTGGTTGAAATTTAAATCCTCTGAAAGATATATGGAACTGGAGGGAATTGGGGGAGAAATTTAGAAGCCAGGAGAGAGCCTTAATTGTGAATTTGAGGGAGAGCAGTGTTGGGGATAAATAGATAAACATGAGAGAAGATATAGGTCAGGAAGAGGATGTAGATGGGGGAAAGAGGGATAGGGGGTGGGGGAAAGGGTGTGGGGGGTATACTGGGGTAATATGGAATGTGTATACGTGAGTTATTTTTATAAACATGTTGTTCTTTTTATACTGGAAAATCAAATATAAGTTAAATAAAAAAAGGACAACTGAGAAGGAAAGAGGGACAGAGAGATTTAGTTGCAAAAGTCTCCAAATGAGAGACAGATAGGAGCTATGAAGCAGTGCATAATTAGGTAAGACAACAAAAGGGAAGTTTAGGCGGTACCTATCATAAGACAAACATGAATGCGGGCATTATTGAGCTTTCCTGACAAAAATGCTATTTGCTTGGTTGTCATGCTAAACCTTTGGCCTCATTGAGTCAATACCGTGAAAACATCATGCCAATAAAGGACTCCTGATCCTGCTCTGACCTATCTAATCTACATGCTTGTACAGGTTCTGTACCCTAGAAGTATAGAATACCGTGTCAGGATAGTAGCAATGCAATTAGCTTTTTCAGGGGATCAGCAATGGCAGCATCCACATTTTTCTCATAGCAGGTATACATTAATAGGGATTTCCAGTTTCTGGTTTACTTTTGATCCCTCAGTGTAGTAAGGTAACTGATGAACTGGATCAACTGTGGGTATAGGATTATACCTTTTATTTTTTGGTTGAACTGGATGGACTTTTGTCTTTTTTCAGCCAGACTAACTATGTGAGAGGGCTTCCCTTGTGGCTCTGGTACGAGCACCTCTGAAGGTGGTGAAAGAGGTACAAGGCTCAGTGAAGCACAGGTGCCGGTAGCTTGGTAGCAGGTAACTGCCAGGGTCAGAGATGTAGTCAGAGCCAAGGTCATATTTGATGAGGCAGAAGTGTGGTCAGGCAACAGGCCGGGGTCAACACCAAGGCAGAGTGAGGTCTGGTAGCAGACTGAGGTCAGAACCAGTGAAGCAGGCAGAGAATAGTCAGAGGTTGATATCCAAATCCACAGAGCAAGGTCAGGAACTAGCCAGGTCAGCAACGGGAGATCAGTCTGCACAAGCAAAAACACAGGAACACAGGTCACTTGGGAGCTGAAGAACATCCAGCGATTAGCACACACCAGAGTCTCCTTTAAATAGGCAGCTTGGCGGCAATATATGTGAATGTGCATGCCAATGTGCTGTGGTGCGCAGATATGCACCTATATGTCAATGCATGCTTGATATTAGCCGGAGCTCGCTTGTATGCTAATACATGTGCACAAGCTTTAGCTGTACGTGAATGAGCATTAGCTATAGTATTAGCATTAACATTAGCTGTGCTAGTAGTAGTTCTCTGACAGGTAATCCCCCATCCCAGAGCTCTAGGAAATTACAGGGAAGCTGTGCTACAGATTTTACCACAAGTAGTGCTTACAGGTAAAAATTGGTACTGCAGTATGACCATACATTATAAATGTCCTTTAGTGAATTCTTCCCAGGAGAAAATGTGGTATTGCAGAATGACCAAAAACTATAAATGTGCTTTACTGAATTATTATATTGTAATGGCTAGACTTCAGTCTTACAAGCTATGTCAATAACAGTCAAAAAGAAGATCTGTTGTTGATTAAGAGGCTATTTTATGCCCCCCATCTCGTGTTACTATGTCAAGGTCTCCAAGGAGACAACAGAATTTTTTCTTTCATGTAAATCCCCTTTACTGCAGGAACATTCAATTCAATAAAGTGCCAGACTCACTGTCTAATTCATAATGTCCACAAGGCACCCAGAGCTCAGCAGATCGCCTTTAGCATGGTGCATGTCATTACACTTAGGTTAAACATAGCATTCTCCAGAATCAAATTGCAACAGAGATAAGTTTGTTCCGAAATGAAAAGTAAACTAGCAAAAATAGTTGTCATGGTTGGAATGTAAGTTATTCTCTGCTTACCAGCAATCAAATTATGGAGAATTATGGACTCAAAACCCTTAGACACCATGTTACTTTCGTCAAGTAAGTGGAGGAGCTGAAATCAAAATTGTCGCTATTTACACACAACACACAATGAGCTTTTAGTTGCTATGTACAGCCTAAATGCTATAGCAATATGTTAATTAATTAACCTGTGATATATATAAATAACAGAGTACATAAGTAGATTTCTTTAGCAAGAAAATATTTAAAATTAAACTTTCTTTTGAGGAAAAAAGGAAACAATTTACGGGTCTGTAAATACATTGCAAGGAGTTTTAGTAAATGTCAAATGGCAAAAACTTTAAAATTTTATTGTAAAAGTACTCACCTAAAAAAAGATGAGATGGCACTGCCCTACAAACCTGGTACAAACAGGTAGAGTTCCATGTGGTAGAAAGTAGAGAGAAGACATTGCTGGAACTGACAGCAGAGGAAATCTGGCTGATTTTTTCTCTGCTCCCAGGCCCTTCCCTGACTTCACTTCCGATTCCCGTGAAATGCATGCTTTGATATGAGCGGAGGTGTAAGTCTAAGTGAGCTGTCTATGTTGGTGCCTCTGCTTGTTACCTATTGATGTGAGTGCAATATTTTATTTGTTTATTTTCTGGTTGAATAAAATATACTACACAATTAGCTTTCTCTCTGGGCTTTCCTTTTATTGCTTTTGGTGAATGAGAGTTGCACAGTGACATATATGAGTGGATTGGATACAGTCATCCCACATCCTGGATTGTGATACCTAACGCTTTCAGGCTGCTCTTTAGGCCATAGGGATCTGGTGAGTGAGCAATTCACTTACATGTGGCGGAGCACTTGGTTTTCTGAAGATTTTCTGTCACCCTGCCATATCTTCTAGAACACGGTGATTGGGAATTTTCACAAAATATTTGGACTTGATATTGATTATATTGATTGAATGTACCTGTAGCGCTACCCTCAATAGAGCCGTTTGGTACTTTCGGGTTCCCTTTTGAACAGAGTCACAAAGGTATGTGAATGACCCTAACAATGGACGTAACAGTAGGGCCAACAGACCCTAGGTGGACCTCTGATCCCAGGAACAAGGAGGAGGAGGAAAAAAAAGACCTTTTGTCAGTCAGTTCCCTCTAAGCCCTGATGCTGCAAGCAAAAAGAAATAACAAAGCACATTATATGAAACCCGGGTTGCAGTTCCCCTTTAAGATACATAATTGCTACATTAGGATGAAAAAAAGGATTAATCAGTGACAGACTCTGCAGGCTGAACCCTTTGAGAGGAAGAGCCCTTGAGGTAAGGGTGTTTGTGGTCTTCTGATAGCTAGGGGCCCAAAGGTATTACTGTGCAATGGGTGAATAGAGTAGACAAGGGATTTCCCAGAAAAAGGCCTCTATGTGGATAATGGTGTAACGGACTGCATGCAGTTTCTCTGAGTGGAATATTTGAGAGTAAAGTGAGCCTCAGCCTGCTCACACATCCTAGAGATATACAGGATCTCGGAGAAAGTGTGTCCCAGAACAGGCTCTTGAAGTTCTGCAGCCAGATGAAGAATGCCTGATTAGCAACCTGATGACAAAGGACTCAGAGATGTCTGTGTGGGTGTATCTGGAGGTAGCACAAGTAGCCACACTGCTGAGGAGGTGCCTGTGGCTGTGGATCTGCACCTAGTGATGCCCCCACACAAACAGGAACTTCTTGCTCCTTCAGCTGTGGTTCCTATGTCCTCTCCACACAGTCCTCTCTCCTTGGAGTCCTTTCCCTGGTCGCTCCCGGGCAGCATGGTTCTCTCTCCTTACAGACCTTTCCTCCTTCTTCTCCCTGTGCTCCTTGCTGTCACCTCCTGCTGCTGGGGCATGCTGGGGGCTTTAGTCCATGTCCCATAAAACTCTATAGGCTGCCTGTCTTCTGGGATTACATGTCCCAAAATCCTCTCCTCCCTGGCTGTTGCTTGGCCCTCCGCTTTGGCCAATGGGGCAGGAGGGGAGCAATGAAAGCGGGCAGCTGCAGCAGGCTGGGGCTACACAGAGCCTGCTGTCTCTCATTTGTCCTGCACTGCTAACAGGAGAAAGGGGGGCGAGCGGGGGAGACACTGAAAGCCCGCAGCTTGCCTCTTTCCCTGTCACAGTGCTCCTGCACAGCATAGCAAGAGAGCAAGAAGAGTAGCAAGGGGGAATGCTTGTACACCCGCTACACACTCTCCCCACCAAAGAACCTTTGGTCCCCAAAGGAGGGACAGAGTCCATTTGCGTAAAATGTCCATAACCTGTTACATACTTTCAAAATATTGTATTTTGGGAGGCAAAAGCAAGTTAGCACATGCAAGAAAACAAACAATTGGCAAGTACACATGAATCTGGCAAAGGAACCTCCCACAATGTGTCATAAGCAGGGGCGGACTGACAACTCATGGGGCCCTCGGGCAATAGGGGATCATGGGGCCCCTGTGTCCTTGCCCAAACTCAAAAAAGCCTATGAAAAAGGTACCAGGGGCATCTCATGGGGCCCCCTACTGACCCCGGGCCCTCAGGCAGTGCTTGAGTTTCCAAATGGTCAGTCCGCCCCTGGTCATAAGAGAGGAGGTTGTCTTGCCCACAAGTCACTGATATTAGGATGTCCCACCTAGATGTGCCAGGGGGTGAGTTGGAGTCACCCTCCACTAAATCTGTAGTGTTGAAGTGTTGTGAGCTCTCTGAGAGGTGAGGATAGCTTTATCAAAACTTTTGCCTAAAGTATCGTAAGTCAGTCTTTTTGGTGGGCGAATAGTACGCTTTTCTTTCTGCTCTTTTTGCATGTGTTGTTCTGGTATAACAAAGAGATAAGAGAAAAAGCCCCTTTAAGCAATGGCGGAAATGTCCCAACTATTGTAATAGCAAAGAAGGATCCAGCCACCATTGAGATGAGCCTTTTTTTTAATCATATCCACAATGTGAGTGGTTTTACCATTATGTTAATAAATGTCTGTTCCTACTGCACTTAGAGGCGCTTTTTCTCTTATCTCTTTGTTACCTAGAGCCTGCTACAGCTTCAAAGAGCTTGCATGAGTGCTACATGGACTGACGTATTGGACTTTATTAGTTTGACACTAGGGATTTGTGATCTCTTTGCACCTAATTGTTGTTGTTTTTGGTTCTGGTGCAACAACCTCTTCCTCTGATGTTATAGAAGGTTGAGGAGTTTCTGTGTCCTCTACAGTCAGGGAACTTGGAAGATCTTCCTTGTTTGCCAAGGGTTGGCTATGTGGAATGAATTATGGGGCCTCATGCCTGAGGGTTCCAGGAGTGGCAGTTTCTGACAGCATAGACTGCCACAGCCAGTCCGTGCCCATTTCTTCATCCTCAGTGTCTTCTGCATTCATGTTTGGTGGCAAGGATTGGGACTTGGTTACAGGAAGTGATCCCTGAGAGGTGGTTTGAGCAGGCTGTGGTTGTTGAGGTACATGAACTGCTTCTGATAGTGGCAGTAGGTGATTTTGGTGCCAGGTCTTTAGTGGGCCCGTGCTTCCTTCTGGGCGAATCTATTATACTGGTAGTCCTGACTTCCAGCGATCAGCCAGCTTGTGTTTTCCAGGGGTTCCCCAACTTCTAAGTAACACTCTATTGCCAGGCTGTAGATCCTGAACCCTCACCTTCAGGTCTAAATTTCACTTGTTTCACTGCCCCTGGGTGTCTGAGGCAGCCTGGTCCTTCTCGCCGTTTTCTGGCTCTTCCACAGGTGGTCCACACATCCTTTGTGGGACATCATCGATGTACGATCTACAGATGTGCCAAAGGCTAAATCAACTGGTAGTCAAGCTTCTCTACCAAACATCAGCCTGTACAGTGAATAGTCTGTGGCATTGTTTTCAGTACTATTATAGGCATGTACAATGGCTGAAATATGCCTGCTCCAATTTTGCTTCTTTTCTGAAGTAAGAGTCCCAAGCATATTTAGGAGGGTATGATTAAACCTTTCTGGCTGTGGATCCCCTGAGGGTGGTAAGGGGTTGTTCTTGACTTCTGAATACCTAACAGGTCTAACAGTCTTTTTATGAATCTACTCTCAAAGTCTCTCCCCTGGTCAGCATGAATACATTGAGGCAGGCCGTCATGGACAAATAACGTCTCTCTACCAGAATTTTGGACACTGTAGTTGCTTGCTGGTCTCTGGTTGGGAAAGCCTGGGTATACCGCGTGAAGTGGTTGGTATCCACCAGGACATTTCCCTGTTCACTTGAGTCAGACTCCAGACTTGACTGGTCTTGGTGAGTCTGGGTTATCATCATCATCATCTTAATTTTCAACAATTCATTAAGGGGCCGAGCTATTTTAGCTAATCCCTCAACAAATCTGTAGTATAAGCAAAACCCCAGGAAGGACCTAACCCTTTTAGGGAAAAAAGATGACTAGAGAAATAGTGTGCCATGCTCACATAGGGATACGTCCAAGAGAATTGCCATAGTCGTAGACCAAGGAAGCATTCTGCACCAAACAAGCAAATTACAAATGTACCAGACAGCCCCACCTGCAGAACCCAGTGATCAATACCACATTCCAGGAATGTTTTGCCCTGTCCATGGACACACTCCCAGAGTAGTCATCAGATACAGGATCACACCAAAGGCTGTGAAATGGCCCTGGACCTGTAAAGAGCTGTGCAGTTAACAAACCAGTACATTAGGTGTCTAGCAAGTGCCACAAGTACAGCCCAGTACCTGAGGGTCACAATACTGCATACTTTGGTCTGGAGGGGTATGAGTGTGGCCTTCAAAGCAGCACAAAGGATTAACTAATCTGGATAGTTGAGTCAGCAAAGGAATTGTAAATACTTGATTCAAGAAAAAATAAAGAGAAGTCTTACTTTAAGTTGTTCCATTTTTTTCCTAAGCGATAGTGCGTCCATCCTCCTAGGACACTAGCAAAAAACTGAAGCATCATGGGAGTAAGAGGGGTTATAGCTGACTGTCTAATTACTTTTTTTCTTTACTTCAGGAAGAATTGGACACAGGCAAACAGTATAACCCAATTGTCTCTGATTTATTTCTTCACTCACACTAGGCGCGTGAAGAGCGATTCTACAGGCAACCATAGACAACAAAGAGTTCAACCAATCTCCCCAATAGAAAGTTCAAGTAAATAGGCTAACTATTGAGCCATAACTATACTCTTCAAACCTTGATTAACCACTAGCCAGTGGGCAAATCTGCTGCAAAGTCTGCAAGCTGTGGGGTCCTTTCAAAATAACTGCACTCAAGCTTCCATAGAAGGTTAAGGTAATCAACAGAGGTAATCAGAGGGCATCTTTGCAGTGTCCCATTTATCCACAGAGGAAACGTGCATAGGTCACTCTTAAAAAAGTCCCTTCACAGTCTGTAGAGTCCCTAAACGTGTGCAAGCAAGGTTCAGGGATACAATCTGACCTCAGATGACTGCTCCTTCAGGCAAGATGGAGGAAGATGAGAGATAGGCCAAACTGTCCTGGATGGATGGTGGTGGTCAGGGGGTAGGCTGAAGGGTCTCTGGCAGGTCTTCTCTGAGGCTTCCTGTCTCCCTCCCTTTCTCTGCAGATTGCACACAATAGCCCTCTGGGTGAACTAAGCCTTATGCTTTCTTCCTTTTGCATGGCAGCTCCAGCCTGATGTATGTTTCTGAAGGAGAAGGCTGTCCTGTCTTGGATGTCAGTGTCTTTTCCTTACTTTTCTGATGTCCCAATGTCTTGTCCCCCACTATTCTTGTGTCCTGGGATTGTGTCGCACACTCAATCTCCTTTCCTAACTCTTCCTTTTCTCAGGCTCTCTCCAGTTAGTCTCCTTTGTGCCTGGTGGGCAGTGCTTAGGTTTCCGGCTGGCAATATGGCCAGTCATGCCCCAACACGCTCCAGGCCTGTCAATCAGAAGGTAGAGGGTGAAGCAAACTGTGGAAAAGCCACAAAGATACCTGAGCTGTGTAGATCCCAGCTTAAAGGGGCTGCCAGTCCAGGCTACGCTAGAAAGTCCCAGCTGCAGAGTAAAAGAATTGACAGCTCTCTGCTCACAGTTCCTAAGTTTAGTCTGCGAACAGTTCCTAGATTTTAGTAAACTATTTGGAACACCTGATCCTCTCTCCAGCTATCTTAGGGAGGCAGACTGAAAACCAGACACATAATTCAAAATCCAGACTGTTCAGGTGAATCCCGGACAGGTGGCAACCCTAAACCAGGTTTTAAAGGTAAAATTGTTTATAGGATTTGTTCAGTAACAATGTACACTTATAAAGTACTATACAGTACATTTAAGCTGCAGGTCTTTCTATGGGTATGCCTATGGGTAGGCATAAGGAAGTAATGAAATTTCCACTCCAAGTTTACCATGATCCTTTTCAACTGTTCATTAAAAAGGAAATGTAAGAGGATCATAAGGCTACACAACCAATGCAATTCTAATATTAGCTTCTATGCTGTAAGCATTGGGACAATGTTTAAAAAAATAGGAAGACCAAGCTAAAAAAAAAATTCAAAACCCCATGGGGAAAATATTGAAGTCACAGGAATGTAATGCAGGTACAGTATTGTAAAAGTGACTTAATAAACAGTTCACCGGCTACTGGTAGAAGCAAGTACATTGTCCACCCCCTTCTTCGGTGAACTATATTTTTAGGGCCAGAATATATTTAGGAAGTTTGTAAGATTGTGGCCAAGTTCCCCCCAGCCAGGAGCCTACAATGAAGACTACGCCCACATATAGAACAGTAACACAGGGCCTGGGTTGTTAATCCAGTTGCCAGCCCAGTTACCCACTTAGCTTTGTAGAGAAGGAGTGGAAAAATGTAACCCCATTCCACCAACTGCACAATTGCAGTAGTCCAATTATCCTAGTAAGTGTAGCCATGGAACCACTTCACTGCCAGGACTATCCTCTCCAGACCACTACACGTTATAGGCTGTGCCCCTTACCACTAAGATGCCTATAACATTGCCCACAGTAATGCCACTTTGTGTGTTTGCATTCAAAGTCAGTAAAAATATTTTGCAGTGGTTTTTATGAAACTTTGCAGATTTTGCTGCTTTTTGTCCATTACATTCCAAAATGCAGTCCAAAATAACTGTCCAGAAATAGAAAAAAGTCCCTCTAACTGTATTCAGGAGGCTATGCTGTGTTGCTCACTGTCACGAGACCAGGAGCGCAGGGAGAGAGTACCCGGAGACCAATTATACGGAACCCGATGTGCGGGTGTTTATTGGGGAGGTTTTTGGGGTACAGACAATAGATCCATTAGTCCACAGATCCACACCAGACACAGAAACACAGTAAAGGTCTCGGGAAGGCAATATGGAACAACAGGGGGCTGGTGGTCCACAGGGTTCAGTAGGACCGGGAGTGGCGGTTTCGTGAGACTTCGGGTTCCTGAGGAGAATTGGGCTCAGTCTTTTGGGCAGCATGGGGTTAGTCCACTTACTAGATGCGGGTTACAGTCCACACAGGCAACACAGGGTAAATCCACACAGGCAACTCCAGGCAGCGAAGGGTTAAGTCCTTCCGGCTCACGGGCAACAAAGGGTTAAGTCTAGGCAGGTTCACAGAGAACACAGGGTTAAGTCCAGGCAGGGGAGAGATCCAGCCAGCAGGCTCACAGGGAACACAGGGTTAAGTCCAGGCAGGGAAGAGATCCAGCCCGCAGGATCACAGGGAACAAGGGGTTAAGTCCAGGCAGGGGAGAGATCCAGCCCACAGGCTCACAGGGAACAAGGGGTTAACTCCAGGTAGGGAAGAGATCCAGCCCGCAGGCTCACAGGGAACAAGGGGTTAAGTTGTCCAGGGAAGAGATCCAGGCAGCAGGCTCAGGGGGGCAGCAGAAGATTCCTCCACAGTGAGGAGATCCAGGCAGCACAGAGTTAACCCCACACAGGTGAGGGATCCAGCCAGCAGACTGGCAGGCTGATCAGCCAGTGAGAGGAGAGCAGGGGGGTGGAAGCTGAGAGGAGGCTGGCCGCAGCCCTGACCTCTCTCACACACGGCAGGCAGGAGAACACACGGGGGCCTGCTCTGTCTTAAGTACAGAGCCGGGCGCGTTGCCGTGGTAACCCGAGACTTCGTGTCGGGTTACCATGGCAACGGGCCCCGCCCCCTGCCTCTCCGGCCCTGCACAGGGCACAGGGAACTCGGCCTTTGTCCTTGTCGGGGCCTTTGTCCTTGTCGGGTACGGAGCACGGGAAGACTTTCTGGAGCCCAGCCAGAGAAACAGGATGCTCCCTCAGCAGGGGGCCAGATTGCCAGCGATGGGGGGGGGGGGGGGGGGGGGGAGGGGCCGCTGGGGGCTGCCTGTGTCAGGGGCAAGGAGGACACTCACCTACTCACAAAAGTTCACAAGATTTTATTTATTTTGAGAGTTCACAAGATGTATCATCTTCAGGCCTTAGATCTCATGGCATCTCCCAAGAGTTGGAGTGTTGCTACATTGGCTGTCTACATAGATGATTTTTCTTTACACTAATGTATAGATGAACAGGGGCCTTGAACAGCACCTTCCCAAAACTTATATAGGCTACAGATGTACAGACACCTCAAGGGTCAGAGATTATACGTTAAAGGGAAACTCCCCTTACAAGCTGGTACCTACATAGCATACCTCCAATCTGTATCAACACTAGGTTTTGTTTTTCTTGCAGAAGAATAGCAGATCCCAGAAAGCTAGGGCACTCTTATTTGATAATAGCAGCCACTTCCCATGTTTCTAGTTCTGGCCTTTCCTCTTCTGCCTCCCACACCTTCAACCAATAGTGATACATAGGAGATATCAGGGGATAGGTTAGAAAGACCTGGAGGCTTTACATATATTATATACACTGTACTTACATATATTTTGACAATGGGTTTTGCAAAATAAAAAAATAAAGAAAATAAATAACACTATGACGAGGGTTGGCAGGACAGAACACACAAAGCGGATGGCAAACACACACAGCTTTATTGAGACAAAATGACAGTCACTCAATGGAGGGATTGCAGGGAGGGTGACCTCGCCAGTAGGGGAATAGTAAAGGGAGGGCCAAAACACTTATAGTCCAGCCCCAAGGGCAAGTTAAGGTCTCTGCAGACAGTTTGTAATCCAACAGTGAGGCTGAGGAACAGTTCAAGAACAGTTCAGGCAAAACAGGGGTAGCATGTACTCACGGATCCAACAGGGTGCCCGGTCTCCCAGGGGACAAGATAGTATGACACAGGTACCTGCCGGAGTCCAGAGTATGCATGTGGTCTTTCCCTTGCCTGGGGTCTCAGGCAGGGCTGGTGTGCGGTCTCTCCTCTGGCTGGGGTCTCAGGCAGGGCTGGCACGCGGTGTCCCCTCTGGCTGGGGTCTCAGGCAGGGCTAGCGTGCGGTCTCCCCCTTGGCTGGGGTCTCAGGCAGGGCTAGCGTGCGGTCTCCCCCTTGGCTGGGGTCTCAGGCAGGGCTGGCACGCGGTGTCCCCTCTGGCTGGGGTCTCAGGCAGGGCTGGCGTGCGGTCTCTTCCTTGGCTGGGGTCTCAGGCAGAGTTTAGCCACGAGGGTCCCGTCGCAGCTGGGCTCCCTCGATGGCTGCGCAGCAGACAAGGATGATCAGTAAGAGCCCAGCACCAGTCTCTTAAACCGGTGTAGGACGCTTCCCGGTAGCCCTGGCAACTGGGCGCGCCATGGGCGGCGTGCCTCGTTGCTCGGCAATGAGGTTCGGCTTCAAAGAGCCGAGGCAGGACGAAAGACAGCAGGGGGCCGGTCATCCTGAAAGGGGGGAAGTGGCTAATGAAGTTTGGGCTAGAATACACAAATGACAGAGAGGAAATTGTCTAACGAAGTTTGGGTTGGAATGCATTATTGCAGGGGAGGAAAGGCATTAATTGAATTTGGGAACATAAAGCAGGATGACAGTGGAGGAAATACATTGATTGAATTTGGGAACATTTGGCAGGATGACGGGGGGGAAATGCATTGATTGAAGTTGGGAACATTTGGCACAAGAACGTAAGGAATTAATTAAGGATGTACTTCTATTGGGCACAAGGAATTAAGTATGGGATTAAGGAAGAAATTAATAATTGGGCCTGGTAGAGCACCTATATTGTGACAAACACACTACTGTCATATCTTCATTAATTAACTACAGTCATGCTACAACAACCTCACTGTTAGTGAACTTCAGCTAACCTACTAAAAGAAAGGGAAACTCCTAGCATACTATGCTCTCCAAAGTGAAGAAACTAGAACTTCTGTCTAAGAATTCAGTGATGTGATCTTCTGTATTTGAGTCTGCATGGGTCTTGCCAACTTAATTTGAAAATTCTAGTTGAAGGCATCCATTCTTCTAGAGTTTTGAAAAGCTGTGCATTTAATGTTTTCTCTGCTGTCAATGTAAGGAATGTGATGTTACCTAGAAGTGAGTAAGTTAAGTGAAGCAACAATCCATCTATCAAGGCCTGTAGTGCATTGACCTCATGCTGTCCCCAAGAAGACAGCAATAGAGTTCTGATAAATATTTCAACAGCCCCAGTTACTTGCATGCGACAATACATGTGTTTTTCATTTAATCCACTTCCAGGTTTCCACTGCCAGCCTCACATCAGCCCACAGCTCAGATCAGTGTTCCACTGTTCTTTTCTTGGACAACAAGATTTAATTCAGATTAAAGGACATATTACCTTATGTGTAGGTACCTGCCCGGTTTGCTAACTGCTAACCCTGACCCCAAAGAAGTTTACTAAAATTCTTTTAAAACATTAGCAGAACATACTAAAAAACATAGGTTTTATTTTGTACACACGTATCTGTTTTTTTATTTTTAATCGACTGAAAGTGACACTAAATAATGGGCTCAATTCACTTAGAGTTAAATACTGCATAAGGCACAATAAATATTGCATAAGTTATTTTTTTTTATTTTGCAGCATTTATTGTGTATTTTTGCACATTACTTTACTGCAGACTGGCTGCAGCAGGAACTAAAACATTTAGCAGTATTATTCCCAGCACTGCTAAATTTGACAATTCAGCTCAGGGCTGACCCTTTGGGTCTGGTAAGGATTTTCTTTTTGGGGGGGGGGGGGAGCCTCACACAAAAAAATAAAAAATAAATAAATAAAAAAAAATAAAGGCATTGTACAGTCCTCCCCCCTCAAATCCCATACCAGACCCTTATCTGAGTATGCAGCCCAGCAGGCCAGGAAAGGGGGGGGGGGTGAGTGTTCCCCTCTCCTTAAACATACCAGGTTACCTGAGGGGGCTGCTTTGCTGGGGGGGGATAAGATATCATATATTATTGTATAATAATGAGGACAAGGGCCTCTTCGACAAAACCCTGGCCGGGGCTTGTGGAGGAGTTACTTATCGGAATCTGGAAGCTCCCTTTAACAAGGGGTCCCCCAGATCGCACCCCTCATGTAAATGAGTATGGGTTACATGGTACCCATACTCATTCACCAAAAAAATACGAGCTTAAATAAAAGCACAGTGCAGTTTTTGACAAATCCTTTATAAATAAAAAAAAAAAAAATGTCCCCTGATGTACATCCATCATCAGTCAAGATGAACACTGTGTCATTTATCCTCTGTTGTGGTATGCCATAGAATATAATTTTTCAGGGTGACAGTCTCTATTTGTAAGCTCAGTCTCCTGTACAAAAGTGTTTGCACTCGCCCCTAGCAATGATGGAAGACCCCGAGTTAAGCCTGCATGGGGTGCCAAGGTGCATGTTTCCCTCACTGCTGTTTCATTCTGTGGATGCTTGGTTGGAATTGAGTTGACAGAGCTGTCACAACCCCAGCACTCTCAAATGAAGGTAAGACCTACAGTGGTGGCTGGTAAGAGCCATTAGAGAGACTGGCAGTGAAACTGTCTGCTGTGATGTGGGGGTGGCCCAAGCTGGCGACACTTTGTATTTTGAGAAAGAATTCCCCGCAGTTTTCTGGATAGTTGGGAGACAAGTAATAAAAGTGAACCTGAAAATGTGATGTTTAAGTCTCTGTTTAAAGAACTGAGTCATTGAAGAAAAATGGTGATCTAATTGTGGTAGGGGTGACCCCTAAATAGTATGTGCAGTTTCCCTTAACAACAGTGTCAGGTGAAAAAGAGATCCTTCTAAAAACCTCTGAGAGGCCCAGAATGTCAGAGCTAGAGGTTTCTCAGGTCAACTTTGATGCTGCCTTGGTGGGGCGAGACTGCTCTTCCAAGGATTGAAGAGGATATGCATGTGTTTAACCACCTCAAGTAGAATACCGGGGTTATGGCTGCAGCTGGATGCCACGGTATTAAAATTTTCTGCAGCTGCTGCTCTATTTGATAAAAGTGATCCGCTGATTAGCTGATTAGTCATGACGTCACTTCTGGTTCATGGCCGATGTAAACAAGGTCATTTTTTTTTTTTGGAAAGCATTAGATCGATGTTTGTTTTTTTTGATCTGATGCTTTCCATTGTAGAGGAGAGATGTGGGGTCTATAAGGAGGACCTGCCATGCTTTATTGTTTTCACAAGGGATGTTTACATTTATTGTGATAACAATAAAAGTGATCAAAAAGCCCCCCAACCCCCATGCTCGCGTGCAGTAGAGAA